GGTTGATATGTTTATCAGCTTGAATAATAACCATATGTGCAGCTAGTGCAAAATTAATTGGCTTTGTAAAATAGTAGGGCCCAAATTTCTGATGTCAAATACACAGCATTCTTTAAAAGGGGCTTAAATCAAGGGGAAAACAACATGATAGGGCAAACATTTTAAAAACGGGAATTTTTGACTTTTTTCCAACCATTTCAATGAGAATTCTTTGAAATCTGCAGAAATCTCTGAGAATCTAATTCAAATTTCCCATAAAATAATTTCCCATCATGTTGTTATCCCCCTCGATTAAAACGCAACATATCTGAATGGCACAAGTTGGTTCAGAAATCTGGTTCCAAGTTAGTGTGATTCTGGCTGGATTTAAATCAAAGCATGAGTCATGCAAGCTTAGCTTCAGATTTTATTCGATTAACCGGCTTGTGCTTTTCGGGATAAAACAATACATTATTTAACATAGCACCAAAAAAACTTTCAACACCAATATGATCTTTCATACAATTGCAGACCCCTTTCCAAAAAAAATATCAGACATCATTAATGAACACCCCCAACTCCAAATAAACTCATGATGCAAAAAAATAATCATACAACAATAATTGACTAGCTTACCAATTAACGAACGAATGTGTCAATTTGATTTATTGATTAATAAGTACATTGAAAGTTAATTTTAATGTCGTCTCGGTCATAGTGTAGGGTAGCAAAAAAGGAAAGGTGCAAAAAATTAATTCACACCCACGCACTTCTGTGGACCATTTCGCAATCAGATAATAATGACATGAAGAAGTAATCCTTGTAGAAAAAAGGAAGTTTCATTGACACTTAATTGGCTAGCAATGATAAAGACATGAAGGAGTCGAGAACAGGAAAAATATCGGCGATGATTTATTTATAAACGTGCTGTAGGCTGATATCATGTGAATGGAAAAGGTCAAGTGTGGAGTTGTGTGAAAAAAAAATTGAACAATAGACTCATGTCGAGGTTTTAAGCTCGTTGACATTTAAACAAATGTCACTCAATTGGAAACAAACTCAATCATTTTATGAGACTCGACTGGTTTGCAACTAATAATCGCGTGTAAAATGTGTCACATCCCGCTCATCATAATGAGAAGAATTTCCGTAAATAAAAATCAATTGACGCAGTTCCAATACACCTACCTCAATATTAAATTGATTCTGCATGCACACGAATAATAAGCGTCATTTTATAGATTTCTGATGCTTGCGGGGTTCCAGTTCTGTGAATAGAAAATTAGTCATTAAGTCTGACATCAATAAAGTCTTGATGCAGATGGTCCAGTGACTAGCCACTTGAGATTTTATGAAACTTCCGCTGATAGATTTAATTTTGATTTTTCAAGGCTTAAGATATCTTGACAGAATCCAGATTCAAAGCTTAAATTCATACTTAGGTTGAAAATCAAGCAAAATTGCACCTCAGAGAAATCATCTGCAAATTGAATATGAAAAAATATTCGAGGAATCAATTCCCAAATGGTCTATAAATAAAGAAAATTGAATAAAATTCCTCTCGACTGTAGTTCCGTGCACAAAAAAAAATCTATTTTTTCCTCACCTTTTCGGTGCGTGTGCAAAACATTTATTTTCATCTAAACAGAATCAAGTAAGAAGCCACCAAAAGAATTATGTCAAGTCACATCCAAAAAGTCTCATTTTTAAAAAAATTCTGTTAATCGCTCGATTGTCCACCCACATGCTTCTTTTATGCGTGCTTTTTATTGCTATAGCATGTTGAGATTGTGCCGGTTTTTAAGACATTCAGTATTATAAAAAAACAAAGAAATTGTTGAGTACCAAAAAAATAAATTTTTTATTTATTCTGTCGATTTTTGGGTTATGAGGAATTGAAATAGTTTCTTGCTGATCTCAATAATTTGATTGTTTTCGTTTTTGGATCTTAATATTTTGTTCGGTTTATTAGGAAAACAACAAGTTTGATTGTTATGTGAATTGTTCTGGGTGGAGGAATGACGTAGTTGCTTCATGAGAATTGTTTGTTCTGTGGATGCCTTGAAAATCTATGAAGATTGTTTTGACCAATCAAACCAAATAGAATATGACTCTGCTAAGCCCATTCTAAAGAATACAAGCCGATCTTTGTAGATCCAGCTCCTGCAAACATCTACATATTGAAATCTCGATAGTTTAACTTGTCGACAGACTTGACTAGCTGCTCCACTAGTCAACTCTTACTAAAATAGAGCCTCTGATACCTATAAATCGCGCTCTAAGAGTTCAAATGGTTCTGATTGACCTCTTTCATGAATAAGACTCTCTTTAATGACTCCAGACGCTCGCTAAGTTGATCTTTGCGGCATACTTGATACTCATTAATGACAAAAAAAAGTCTAAAAAGTTCTCCAATTTAAAATAAATTCCAATCTCTTATTTTGTCCTTCACTTCTCGAATGTCAGGCATTATCATATCATTTTATGACTCAAAATAGCAATAAGACATCAAGTGAAATTGCCTATAAAATCAGATTTTCCATAACTTTCAAGAATCAACTTAAATTTTATGCCACAAAACTATCAAGTGTTGACATTTCCTTTACAGCAAAAAGAGAATTTGACTAAAATTTCATTCCGTTCCTTTATATTCATGACAATCAAATAAAAATGGAAATAAACAAATGAAAAAAAAACCATCAATGTCAAGGTCGAGAACATTTACTTCCAAGCCTTTGTGGCTTTTCGATGATGACTTCCAAAAAAAAAGGAAAAGAAAATGAGTTTTTGATAGTAGCTGGAATGGAAAGAAGGCAATAAAAGGAATTTTCTTTTCAACTAACAACAAAAAAATACAAAGCGCGATGAAAATTGGAAATGAATGAGGGGAAGCTCTCGCAGTGCCTTTAAATTATCGACACAACAACAACAACGACGACTATTGGATTTTCGCGCTTTTTTTATTCTTGCTGAATTTTTTTTGATATTTGTATTCAGGCACGAACGATAATATGAATTGAATTTTTAAAAAGCAAGCATGTTGAAGGCGAAGGTCGACATATGGAAGCGGTAATTTTAGAGGAAATATTATTGTCTGTAATTGAGTATGGATGCCTTTATTGAAATTCAAAGTGTTTTGTACGATAAAATAATAAATATTGTGAATGAATTAAATATGATACTTTATTATTAATCTATACCTTCATATCTACATACTCATGAATAATTGTTTTATATGTTGCTTATCAACAGTGACTGAATATCGATTACATTGAAGTGGAATTTTTTGTTTTATGAATCAAGTTTTAAATAATTATTTTTTGGATGGAAATTTACAGGTTGTGAGTTATGAATTATGTGACTGTGGGAATTAGGTGTCAATTTTTGACAATTTCTGATTTGAACTTAAAAAAAGAGAAACATTAAAAAGAATTAGAATTAGGATTAGAATTAAAAGTTAAACATTTGAGGTTATTATAGAAAGATTACGACTTTGATTTAGATTAGTTGAAAAATTTGAATTATGATTAAGATTAAAACTGAATCGTCACTAGATTCTAAGTATTTATCCTCATTTAAATGCTATTGACATCAATTATTGGACTTAGGATGAGAATCAGATCAATTGTCATCTCATATCTGTCTACATTCATTAGAATCTTTAATTGAACAAAGCCTAACCTCAATATCAGCACATGTCACCCTTAAACCTAATGACAAATGATCAACATCACTTCCTGAATGCTAATGAACAATTAAGCATGACCAATTTATATTGTAGATGCATTAAACCATCCAAAGCCATTCGCAAATATTAGCAGTAATCTTGTAAACATCATTTACTTAAGTAATTTTCTATATTTGATCATTTCCAATGCAAACTCTAATGAATATGTAGATTCACAAGCTTATCTTAAAACTTAAATTTATAATTGTTATTGAAACGCGTAAGCTGACAGCTTCATGGTTCTTTTGAAATCTAAATTTTTATGGCTGATTTTTTACGGATATTAAGTTTTTACTTTATTGTTCAGATAAGGTTGTGATATGCAAAAACCAGTTAATGGATGTGCTATTGAGGTCGACATCATTTATGAATAATCCCCAAAAACAAAACCAATTTCGTAAATCATCCACAACAATTGCACAGCAAATATATATTTTTTTGGGTAATAACAATTTTATCATCAACTAAATGGAAAGAATATTGACCTCATTGAATGGAACAAAAAAAAGCAGTAAACAGTAATAAATTACAGTAAAAGCTGTTCCATTCATGATTATTTTAATACAAATCCAACATTGTTTCCAATAAAATTTCTCATTCACAAAAAACAAAGTTTAACAAAAACTATTCTGACAAAAAAAGAAGCTTTTTTTGATTAATTTCCTTGTATGACATGCTCACATACGCATCTACATATGTGAGAAAATGTCTTTGAAAGAAAGCAGAGAAGGAATTTCATTTATGACATTAAGCAGAAAGGCATGAAGTATGTCAAGAACCCGCAAATCTCTTAAAATGATTTCAAACCACATTCGTACATTTATTGTCCATAAAACTTTATGCATATTCTTATTTAAGCATGAGGAAAATGGGATGGAATCAAAAAAGCTCTCGCTTTACGACTTTCTGAGTTACAAATCTTATTTTTTGCCCTCAGAACTTGGAAAAGTCTCTTAAGGTTTTGCAGTTAACACAAAGACGAGGCAACAACTTTGTGCAGCTCGGGATTCCATTCTTTATTTAGATCCTAGACTCCCTCATCGGTTGATTCCTTATTTTTGGATTGCGTGATTATTTTGAGCACCGACGAAAAAAAAGCGAGCAACATTAAAAATTTATCGCATTTCATTTCATTTCCGAAGGGCGAAATCATTAAAATTGGAAATTTACTATACCAAATTTACTTTCTCATGGTGGGTTAGTTCCATTTGGGGATGGGAAGAAGAACATTTCTTCTAAAATTTCAGGAATGTTGAATCAAATCTAATAAAAAAATGTATTTTAATATTTGCAGGCACGAAAAAAATGGAATACAAGACACGCCAGTGGCATGAAAAATGTTTCTGCTGTAACGTCTGTAAGACGCCAATCGGAACGAAATCGTTCATTCCTCGCGAACAAGATATTTATTGTGCTGGATGCTATGAAGACAAGTTTGCTACTCGTTGCATAAAATGCAAAAAGGTAATGTCGATTTGTCCCATCAATTATCGTTATTTATTATTTGTTATTCATTTGGCTATGAGGGGGATATTTGATGAAAACTGGAGCTGATTTGATGCAGAATGTCTATAAGACAATGTTTTAAGAATTAAAGTGTTTTCTTGAGAAACAAAGTTAAAATCGACTAAACTCTTCTCTAAGTAATCTATATACGCAAAGGAAGTCTGCACAGTATTTGAATGGTGATGTTTAAGCTGATTTCGATTGATTCTTAATACAAAATTAGCAAAAAGGCTGAACATTACAAAATTCTGACTGAATAGTTGCAATAAAAGGGGTAAACAACTACATTAAAATAAATACTATTCAAATCTCAAATGAAAGTTAAATCATAATCAAGCTCAAACTCATCTAAGGGGCCGTTCACTTATTACGTTTGCATTTTAGGGGGGAGGGGGGTTCGAAAAATTGTAACAAAATGTAACATAGGGGGGGAGGGGGTGTTTTAATGATAAAATAAATTATGAACGTTCAGGGGGGGGGGGGGGTGTGAGTTGTAACAAATTGTAACAAGGGGGGAGGGGGGGGGGGGTGAAAAAAGTCGTTTTTTTGCGTAACGTAATAAGTGAACGGCTCCTTTAAAAGGATACAAATGCTTCTATTTCCAACGCCAAACATCTTCATCTCCACAGCAACTCAGTTTAAAGACCATTTCTAATAAAAAATTACTTTCCATTTCCTCTATATTCTTGTAGGTAATTACAACTGGCGGCGTTACTTACAAAAACGACCCATTCCATAGAGAATGCTTCGTCTGTACTCATTGTGAGACTCCATTGGCTGGACAACGCTTTACAAGTCGCGACGAAAAACCATATTGTGCTGATTGCTTCGGTGATTTGTTTGCCAAACGCTGTACATCATGCACCAAGCCTATTACTGGTAAGCTCACCGCATTTCTCATTCCTTTATATTCCCTTTTGTAATTCATCAATTCTTCTTTTCTTTTTTTTGGCTTGTGCCTTTTAGGCATCGGTGGAACAAAATTCATTTCATTTGAGGATCGTCACTGGCATAATGATTGCTTTACTTGCGGTTCATGTAAGACATCGCTCGTGGGACGTGGCTTCATTACGGACGAGGAAGATGACATTATCTGTCCCGATTGCGCCAAAGCTAAGCTTATGGCTTCCTAAAGGAAATACTTATTTTTTTTTTGTTATACATAAACACGCAACAGCAACAACAATTAACACAATACTGCTATATTTACAGTAACAAAAAAGAAAATGAAGTTATAAAAAGAATTACGCTTGAATTCATTTATTTATCAAATACACATGATAATGATAATAATGTGCGTAAATCAAAATAAAATATAAGAAATATATAAATTTTCATCATCATTATTTGTAAACGAGAAGAAGAAAAAATTAATAAAAAAAAGTTTTAAAAAAAATATTAATGCGATTATAATCGTTAAAAAAATTATGAAAAAAAAAATATGAAAAATTTCTACTATTTTTTGGAAATCTATATATTAACTCTAATTTTTTTTCTTTGTTTAATGTGAATGAGATACCAAGTTATTAATAAATATATGATTTGAATCAAATTTTTGAAAAACAATATTTGTATGTATTCTCGTGCTGGGTGCTACACAGAGCTTAAATAAAACTGTCGGCTTTCAGCTCTGGTTCTACCTTAGGGCGATTCCATGAGTGATTTTTTTTTCTCAACTCAATTTTTTGTAAATATTTCCTTAATTAACTTCATTTAACGCCATATTTAAGATTTATTTTATTTATTATTATGGTATTTATGTATTTAAGTGCATAATCTTTTAGTTAAATCTGTCTGACAAAAGATATTTTAAAAAAACCAAACTTAATCGGTCAACTTTACGAAAAATTGATTTTTAAATTTTCATCAATATTTCTTCGAATATCCATTGTTGTGTTACAAATCTATGATAAACACACGTGAAATCGTCTGTGCTTTATAACAATATCTTATTCGTATGTCTTTCTACTGTAATTAAGGAGAAAATTGGGGAAAACACCACTTAATCGGTCAACTTTCAACCGATTATTGCAAAACATATTACATATTTTTGTCAAAATGCAGCATAATTAAGACGATTAAATGCTAATAACACATGAATTGATGAATAATAAGTCTTATTTAGTGAAAAGATATGTTGAAATATGTATATTTAAGCAGAAAAAGCTAAAAAAGTTTTTGAAAAAAAAAATTTCAGTTTCATTTACCCATGGAATCGCCCCTTATTATGATTTTTATCACAATTTTATTCATGCAGCTGGGCAGAGAATGGTTTTGAACAGATAAATTTGATATTGATCTTTTTTGATCAATTCCTAATCCTTGAGTATAACTGAGTATAGACCAAACTTCAATTAATTCATGAAAATCGCGTTGCCTCAAGCTTTGAAAGTCAAAAACACACTAGTGGCTTCCAACACAAAGAAGAGAGGGAAGTCCTTTCTGGCGTCATACGCAATTGACCTTCCTCCTCCAATCATGACTTAGAGTTTATTTTTATTCCAAGTTTTTAATGTTTATTTACGACAGTAAGGCATGACCTTGAGATGAAAGAATATAAATAAACAAAAATGACCTTGAGAATCAAAAAATTTGGGACAGAAGCCAAAACTTTAATATCGAATTCACCCCAGTCATGAAAATGTGAATAAAAAACATTTTTAAGGATTTGGATGATTCAAATTTTCAATTGATATTTATTAAACAAAGCTTATTTTCCAAAACCTAATCAATAACTAGGTTCGTGGACCAGAAATCAGCCACAAGCATTGTAGATTTCCCTATAACTGCCATATGTGTATTCTAAAGTAAAACAAAATCGGGTTCAATGTGAATCGAACCCACAACCTCAAAGAGGTGATCTCTGACTTCTCAATCAGAGATTCTTGCCACTCGACCACCGAGGTACTTATTTATCACTTCGGCTATCCGTCATACACATATAAACAGTTTCAACGCGAGACCTATGCTCAGGCCTATCTACTACAGATATCTTCGAGCCATATCCACAAGCATGAACCCACTCGTATGAATATACAAACAAATATTGTTAATTTAAAACACAAATCAATAACAATGCAAAATAAAGAAAAACTTAATAAAAGAAGATAAAAACAATGGAAAGAGAAACTCGATCAAAAAAATAAAGGATAAAGTGATGATATCTGTCGTGAGTCAATAAATTATTCAAGACCATTAAAACAATCTTTAAAATGTTAATAGCATGCAAATTAAATAATTTGCAATTTTATCGTTATACATCTTAATATTATTTATCGCCATTAAAGGCGATAATGTGAGCAAAAAAAAATACATCAATTAAATGATAATATGCGACCACGGGATCACTCATTTCCATGTTAATCAAGTAATAAAATAATAAAATTATACATAAAATTGAGAATATATTTAAAAAAAATTAACTTAATAATAAATTTAAAACATTTTAGAGATAAATTACAAATGAAAAAGAAATGTAGGAGTGAATTTGTAGTCAAAAACTATGAAAAATGATAATGATAAGGGGTGTGCTCGTTTATGACGTCCATTTAAGTATGAGATGGGAAAAAGTAAGGTTTTGTGGTTATTTAACGGTTTATTAATATTTGAATTTTTGAACTTTAGCTTTTTGATTTTTTTAAAAATTTGAGATATCAAGGTTTGAACTCTAAGTTCAATTTTTAAAACTCTTAGTTCAATTTTTGAACTTAGGGTTCAATTTTTGAACTCTGTGTTCATTTTTTGAACTCTTAGTTAAATTTTCGTTTACTCTAAGTTTAGTTTTTGAACTTAAAGTAGGATTTTTGAACTCTAGATTAAATTTTTAAAATTCAAAACTTAAGTTTAAAATTTCAATGTCAAATAAGCCGTTGCAATTTTATCAATAAAACATTCAAAATAAGGTTGATACAAGTATCAAATCTCATTTTTTGATAGACGTCATTAATAAACGAACCCCCATAAAAGCAGAAATACAATCAAAAGATGAAAATTGTTCTTTAATTAACTCATAATTATGGCATTTAACTTATATTATCCACACATTGTCCCTATTTTCGCTTAATTCATATATCTCTTACTGGTTGTTGATGTTTTGTATATAAAAACTCTTTTTTTTCGCGTGATTAATTTTTTTACTACTTATTGTGTTAAATGACTTAATTAAAACTTAATAATTGAGAAATATTTGTACATGAATCTTTTGTTTCTTATAGAGAGTGGATGTATCATGTGAATTAATTATTATAGTTCATTTTGTAAACTACAAAAAAAGAAAATGTTTTAGTTCAACGGCCTATATTCACTGAAGTTGCCTTTTAAATTTAAAAATATAAATTGAATGATGAGTCAAACAAAATGAGGATGTTGAATATCTGTAATGTACTCTGAATCTATGAATTGTGTTTAGTTCTATTTTGATGGCTTCTTTTTTGGAATAATTGAAAGAATTTGAGGTTAAATCGGGAATTTTTAACAAGCTGTCTTCCCCTTGATAATTTTTGATCTGAAAGTTGACAAATTGATCAAATTCAATTAATTTAAGGTTTTTAACCTCAATGCGTATAACCTCAAATAGATATTGACCAAAAATAACATCCAAACAGCATTAAGATCATAATTAGTAGAAAATTGAATTTGCATCAAATTCCAACAATTTCTTCAAAAAGAAGCCATTCCTGATTGTTTTGTTAGTCTGTAATTGACGTTGGAATGTCATACTAGATAAGAAATGATTGGCTCAAAAAGTAAAAGTGTATAGATAGGAAGTAAAAATTTGGATATTTATGACATTCTCGTCAATTTTTAAGTGGTGTTTAAAAATTATGTGTAGGTTGTTTTGAACTGGAAAAAGATGAGGAATAAGGGAAGGAGAAGGGGGATTATGGCTATTTTAAAGTAGATTGGTATGGAACTGTAAATTTTTGATACTTTGTGTTTAGAAACATAAAATGGCAGCTTCATTAGAATTATAAATTATAATATGTATGCTTATGTTAATGTTCTTAATTCATGTGAGAGATAAAATTTAAGTCATACAGAAATTAAAACAAGTAAAGAAATCAGCTTCCCATAAGTGCTTTGCAATCAAATCTTCGAAATAAAAAGAGAATACAAAAAAAGAAGAAGTTACTTAAATTAAGATATGAAGGAATTAAATATAAAAATTAACAAAAATAAATGAAATAAAATGTGTGAAAAAATATAAAATAAATAAATTCTGTCATGAGATTGTGGCCTTTTTATGTTTTAGAATCCTAATCTTCACATTACACATTATTAACTCACAACAAATAAGCAGATGATGTTCTAAAGAATTATAACTAAGCATAAACAAAAATTTATCTATACATTTCACTCTTTGTCCTTACTTTGGACAGCATTGATCATAGCAAATTTATTTTTCAAAAATGAGAATTAAAATAAAATGAAAGAAAAATTCATTGAATTATAGAAGAAAGTTTTGGTGTGATTTTTAATTTTGCTTTATTTCAAGATACTGGATTCATATGGGACAACTTACAAATTATCAAGGAATTGTACGGTTTTCCTGTACACAGGTGCCTGTATTGCAATCCTGGATCAGGGGCGTAGGGGGGGCCATAGGCCCCCCCCCCTACGAAAATCTGATAATTGTTTTATTAAGTATTTATAGAGAAGAACCAGTTAATGTAGAGGAAGTGATGAAAGAAAGCACAAAAAATTAAATTTAATGTATGAATATTGAATTAAATATTTAAACTTATGAAGAATGAATATAGATTTAAGGATACAAAATAATGGTTTTTTAATTTTCGAAAATGGGCCCCCCCTTAAAAATTTTCTGGCTACGCCCCTGACCTGGATCCAATCAAGTCATGACGCTCCTTAATAAACTTTGTCACAGATTTGTTTTAATAATGTAGAATAAACTTTTGAATAAAAACTTTTCTCAGTATCTTTATTTGTTCAGTTAAAAAACAAAGAACCAAAACAGTCTATTGGATTTTAGGTTATGATGCCATTAATAATTATCTTAATAATCTACAAAATTGTACTTCTTGAACGCATTGAACTTTGCATATCTTTCTTGCTTCTTTTTTTCTTGTTTCCAGTCTCATCATCACTATCTTCGCTGGTTTCAATGTCAGATAAATCAGGAGTCATGTCCACATCACTTTTCTCAGCTTCTCCATCCTCATTATCACTTTGTTCCATTATTGATCCATTTTGGGTATTAATAGCTGTTGTATTTTGCGAGAAAATGTCTTCACCATCAACATCAAAGTTTCTTAATGTCCCAACTGACAAATGATCATTCGTGATGTTTGCCTGCTTAGCAATTTTACCGGCTGCATGATAAAACGTTTCAAATTGTTGTCGAGCTGTTGGTAAAATCGCAGATATGCTGTTATTCTTACGATGTTTCAATTCACATGCCACGCCATGTGCATTTCGTCTAATCTTCTGGATGTCCTTAACAAGTTGAACGAACCTTTGAGTATCTTTTCGTGCTGCTTCATTCAAAATATTCATTCCATCCGAATTCAATTTCTTTAAGTAAACAATAAAGTTTTTAAGGAACAGATTGAATGCAACCATTGACTTGATCCACTTGACAATTGATAAGAACTTCTCTTCCAATTTTGTGCATGTCTTCCAAAATTCAAATGTCATGTTAGCACTTTTCGTTGAATTTATAATCTCTGAATATCGTTGTATGTAGATTCGCAGCATGTAAATTAAATTAGCTTTTGTGATGCACGGAAAGACTTTATTTGCAACCAATTCATTCTTATTTGTTATCTCTTCAATATTCTCAACAAGTTTTTCAATCGATTCCAAATCTGTTGCCTTTTTGACATAAATTTTCAATAATTTCTCAATGCAAGAGTTCAATGCACTTCCATGCTCAAGTTGACGACTTGAATTCTTCCACCTTGTCCTTAACAATCGTTCGGATAGTTCACAAATTTTCACGGAATTCATTCTGTCCTTTTTGAATGAATTAATTGTGGTCATAAAATCAATTAAAGCAACAGCACCGCCAATGTCTTTTGCATTCTTTTCATAGTCCATAAACTGTTCAATAATTGCCGTACACAATAGCTCTTGTGATCTAAAATGGCTTGTGCTGTTTTCAATCAATTGTTTCAGCATGTCTGTTAAGACTTCAGAATTATCGTCCAATTTGAGCTTCTTGCTTGAAAAGAGAATATCAAATATTTTGAGAATCATGTGGAATGACTTCTTAATCAAAATTCCTTCGGCTGTAAACAATGCAGCTTCATCGTCATCGTCACTTTCCATTGAATTACTGCTCACATTCCCAATTTCCTTATTGATATTGCGAAAAATGCGGACTAAATATGGCATTATGTGTGCCTTTATGTCACGGATGTTTTTTATTTCATCTGTAAATCCTTTCGCATCGACTTTATGTGCCTTAAAAATTGCCATGAATTTGTCATAGACATCATCGAGGAGGTAAATAAGCTCAGTTAATGTAAAGTCTGTGTCGTCACTTTGCGACATTGACAGTTTAAATTCCTCATTCAGCAATAAAGCTACATCATTGTCCATTTCACGACAAAACTGACTTGATTTAATTAAATTTACATTCTTATGTCCTTCCGGTGCCTCAATGTCTTGTATAATTGTCTCATTCTTCTTCTTCTTACCTTTCTTTGCTGGCGGTGGTTTTGTTGATGCCTTCTTTTCCTTATTTTTGGACAATCCTTCAAACATTTTCTTTTTGTGTTCATTTTGAAGGAAGTTCAGGAATGGTGGAAGATAATTTGGCGGTGCATTTTGGAGTAAGTTGTCAAGTTGCTTCTCAATCATAATTAATTGCATTAAACGCTTTTTCATGACTTGTTTAACAAAAATATCATCAGATGACTGTAAAAATCCCCCAATAATTTCTCGTAGCCAGTTGCATGTGTGAAAGTAAAGATCCAACTGTAATTTAGCTAGTTCCGGGTCGTCAACCAAAAAGTCATCTTCAGATCCGAATTTTTCAGGCAATGAAAGTGGCATGGAAACTAACCCAGCCATAAAATCGACATTCCCGAAACGTTGGAGATTAATACATCGTGTAAGTTTGAACAATGAAGGAACTATGATGATATCTTTAGACTTTTCAAACACAAGAACGCCAAGCTTAATCCCAAGTTCTGATTTTTCGTATTGTTCATCAATAATCTCAAATTTATTGTCTAGCTTAATTCCATCATATTCTGGAAGATCCAAGTCAACAGAAATTGTTACTAAATCCTCTAACTTTGTCAATGTGATTGCCCCAAGCCAGCCTAAGAACATTTGATTAATCATTGACTCATTTTGTGTTGGCTTAAATTCAAATGAAAGTTCATCAAAAAGCATTGAAAGAATTTCTTGATCTTCATTTGCTGCGGACATCATCAAGTCTACAAGATCTGCTGCATCCTTTACAGGTCCTCTTGGCATGTCATCAATGTTAATTGTTTGATTTTCGGTAAATTCAGATTCACATAAAGTGTCCACAACTAAAGCACTTACAATTTTTACAGCTCCAATAATTCCAAGCTGCTTAATTCTTTCGTCTGGGTTATTTATATGTTTTACGACCAGCATATTTAAGTGATCACGCAGTGCATCCTTACTTTCATTCAAACTTGTTAACTGTACTTTTTTGAAGCCTTTTGAGTAATCTATTTTGTAGACTAAAGAACATAAAAATTCAACATAAAGACGATGTTCATTAAATGACAATTCTGTCTTCCAAAGATCCAGAACACGAAGCAATAGCTTGTAATTAATCAATAAAGATCCAGCTGAAGTGACTTTGTCATTCTTTATGTCATTAAATATGTTAAGAATTGTAACTTTAAATTCTGATGCTGATGAAAAAGGAAGTGCTGCTTTCTTTTCACACAAGAAATTAACAAGTGATCCAATAATCGGTTTAACTTCATTAGAGTATCTGAAAATAAGTTTGTAGCAGGTTGCAAGGAAATTGTACATTTGCTGATTTTCTCGAGTCTTTTGAAAGCCGTCAAGCATTTCCAGTAAAGTTTGTGAATTTTCAACGATTATTTTAGAGAATACTTTGAATGACTTCTTTAAGTGGTTTTCTGGGAATAATCCTTTTGAGATCTGATCCAAGAGCTGTGTCCAGTATAAATTAAAATTGAAAAAATATGGTAAATTTTGGAAGAATAACGATCAACAAAGATTTAAAAAAATAACGGTTATAATAATTTTGAAATTTTTTTGAACTTTGAAGTCATTTTTTGAACTTACGATTCAAATTTGAAATTAACGGTTTTTGTTTAACTTACAATTTTCTTGACATTTCGTTGATGAGCTTCAGTATTTGTGTCAGCTATGCTGATGAGTATTATAAAATCAATAAGCCTTAAATTACAAAAATACAATTAATAAACTGACAAAAACTAAGAAATTTAATTTAATTCACCTTAATTCTTCATTATTACGAACTTCAGAGATAACAGTCAGCCACGACTCAATCAATTTCGAGTTATCTCTCTTAATAGACTTGTCAATCAACTTAAACATCTCATCAATAATATCCTTTGTGCATGATTCCCATTTAATTCTTTCGCGCAGCATGTCAACTATTTCAATATTTGATGATGCATAAAACTGTGAATATTTAAGCATTGCTGGATAGTGCTGGACAGAACAATCCTTCTCAATGTATTGTTGAATAACAATAAAGACTTGTTCGGCTAAGGAAGTATCGAGTGTCATGTCGCAAAATGTGTCAATAAATTTTAGTAATTCTGTCTTGTTTGTTTCATACATAATATAAAGTCTACGTGCTGCTTCTTCCTGTTTTGGAAGACTTAATTCGCGGAAATGCTGAACAATCACATCACGACATTCAAATTTCTTGCAATGACTTAAAATTTCAAATAATTCCTCAAACATAAAGTCATAAGTCTCGTCGTCAAGAAATTGCTCTGAGAATTTAAACTGCATGAGAACAAGTCCAATAATGATCTTGTCAGCATCATCTCCTTTCTCTATTACATATTCTTTGAGTCGAATTATCAAAATTTTTGGAAGTTCATTTTTGAAGCAGTCAATGGCTAATAAGCACATTATAAGTGTCGTTTGTGTCTGATACTTTTGTTCTCCATCCTTAATGAATATTCCTCTCATTAAATGGATGCACTTGTCTTTCTTAAGATTGTCAGTCAACACAAAATCCTTTTTAAATTCCTTCAAATAATCATCCTTGCTTTGTGCTGCATCTTTTTTAGATGACATAAATGTTCGAAAACGTCTTGTGAATGATAAAGGATCATCCTTGCCATCAATCAGCTCACAACCTAGTATCAATAATTTTATTAACTGGATTTCACAATATTACAAATTTAATGTAACGTACCCATTTCCGTAAACTCCATTCTACAGTTCAATAAAGTCACTTCTAAGTATCCCTTGCCTTTCCTCAACTCTTGCTGAGTCGATTGGACCAAAATAGCTCGCTGTGACTTGAATCGTGACTGTGTTCTACTCTCATCTTCATTCTGCTGTGATGATTGGATTACTTCGTCTTCATTTTCCTTTTCATTCACTTCATTTTGTGTTTTTTGCTGTGATTGATATACTGGAACTGGTCGACTGGCATTTGCGCTAGCTGCAGTTGTCAAAAATTTCTTTTCAATCCTTCTACGATACATTTTTGTGCTGTTATTAATGTATTTTTGATTTTACTTAAAATTGACACTTTTCTGTTGGTTCTTCGACTAATTCAGGTAGAATAAGAGAATTGAATGATCTATTGGTGATTTAAAGTGTTAATTAAACCTTATTTCCAGGTAAATTAAATAGTTTTAAAAATCTTTATTTTATTTTCCCGCCAATTTCAAATTCGGTCTTCTCAGAATTGTTGACAAAAAAATAAGAGAAAGAAATTTTTGATATTTCAATATTTGTTGAAATAAAATAATTCTAGCTTTAGTTTATAACTTAAAATGGCACATATGAGACGTTCAAAAAAGAAGGATATGGATTCTGTTCTTATTGATGCTGAATTCCGTATAAAAGCTGAGAAAATGATTGAAAAGTTTTTTCATTCAAATGAGACAGTTTTTCAGTTTCCATCAATCTTAACTAACGTCGAACGAGCATTTGTTCATAATCTGGCACCTAAATATAGCTTAAAAACAAAATCACATGGATTTGGTAAGTTTAAAAAATGTATTCCTTTAATAATTCAACTGATTATAATACTTTTATTTTTGCAGGATCTGAGAGGAAACTGTCTTTATTTAAGCTGGTTGAGGATGAGAACTTTGTTCATAAAAGTGCTAATATGGCACTCCGTCCTGAAGTCAAAACATTGATTAATGACTATTTAAACACATATCAAATGCCATCTGAAGTTGCAAGTCCAGTGGAAGCAAAAGTGGATATTAATAACTTTCAACCTTTTGCATTAACTTGTTCCCCTATTATTCCTCCAAAGCTTAATCAGCCTGATAGTAGGATATTACAGATACGTAAAAACTTATCAATTCATGAGTACAAAGATAGAATAATGCAGACTATTGATAAGAATAGGATAATATTGATACAGGGAAGGTAAGATGTACTGTATGTTTTAATTAAACTACATTTTTAGCTAAACGTATGCCTATATTATAGCACTGGATCTGGCAAGACAACACAAATACCACAATACATCATGGAAACAGCATCGTACAGGAATGAACCATGTAGGATACTCTGTACACAGCCTAGAAGAATATCAGCTATTGCTAGTGCTGAAAGAGTTTGTTATGAACGTGGTGTAACCTTAGGAACTAGTATAGGCTATCAAATAAGATTAGATTCACAAATTTCTGCTAATACCAACTGTATATTTTTGACTCCTGGAGTATTTTTACGATATTTAATGGGTAAAATGCCTGAAAGGCTCTTTAAAAATGTCACGCATATCTTAATAGATGAGGCTCATGAGCGAGCTAAAGAAAATGATTTCCTTCTTACATCCATTAAAGAACATTTTCATGCAAATCCAAATATGAAACTAATTATCATGTCTGCCACAATGGATACTGCTGTTTTTCATAATTATTTTGGTAAAAGTGAAGAAATTTCCATTCTTACGAAACAATTTAATGTGGAGGAATACTATTTGGAGGATGTTTTAAAGATGGTCAATTTCACAAATCCTAAAGTTCAGGAATTGAACGAAAAGTATAGGTCTGGACAGCTTATTCAAGCATCGACAAGTGCTTTTATAAATGAGTCCATGAATGAAAATGCTGACTTGGATGCAGATAGCTTTGATGATGATCTGAAGGCATACATTGACGAATTGCTTAATAATATGGGAACTCATGATAATCCAGAGAATTATTTTGATGAATTTCTATACCTAGTAATGAATGAAGGTGTTCCAGTCAATTATCGTCATTCTCAAACTAATATGACGGCTTTAATGATTGCAATTGGACGACAATGGGTTGAAATGATTGAAAAGCTATTGAAAATTAATGCTGATCCAAAACTAAAAGTTGATGTTTGTGGATATGAAATGAATTGTATAGATTTTGCTGAGAAGATATGTGGTGCTGAGTCGAGAATCCTTCATGTCCTCAAAAGTATCGAAAATGGTCCTAAATCCAACAGTCTGTCTAATGATGAAGTCTACAATAAAGCACTGTTAAACATTTATCAAGATTCGGTTCTTAAAACAAAGCAAAATAATTTTGTTGTGGAAGAAACAATCGATCATATTTTAATTGTTCAGCTTGTACAGAAGATCCATATTTCAACAGAAAAAAATGGAGCCATCTTAATCTTTTTACCCGGATTCGATGATATTCTTCAACTATCGAGGCTTATAAATGAGACAATTACACATGATTTCACACTTTTTATGCTCCATTCAAGCATGAAAACTGATGATCAAAAGAACGTCTTCAAGCCAACTGCACAAGGCAGACGAAAAATAATATTATCGACAAATATAGCTGAAAGTTCAATTACTATTGATGATGTCGTTTATGTAATAGATGTCGGTCGGGAAAAGCAAAAATCTTATGATTGTATTTCTCATTCATCATCTCTTCGCGTCCAATGGATTAGTAAGGCATCAGCAAATCAAAGACGCGGAAGAGCAGGTCGTTTGAGAGATGGTATTGTATATAGAATTTATTCACGCGATCGTTTTACTTCTATGCTTGATGTAACCATCCCTGAATTACTAAGAACTTCATTGACTGAAGTATGTCTACAGAGTAAATTGTTGGTTGAAGACAATAAGAAGATTGAGGAATTCTTGCAAAGTTGCATAGCAGCACCATCAATTGCGAATGTAAGGCAGAGTATAAAATATTTGCAAAAGATGGGAGCTTTGAATAAAGAAGAGAACCTTACACATCTTGGTTCTCATTTAGTTGGAATGCCACTAGAAGCAAAATATGGAAAAATGATCATTTATGCCATAATCTTTAAATGTGTAAATCCCATTTTGAGCTTAACAAGCATTTTAACTATGGGTGATCAGGTTTTCGTTCTCCCTATTAATCCAGCTGATCGCTATAAGTGTGAAAAGTGGAAACGATCTGTAGCTTATGATTCATACAGTGATCATTTCCTAATGATTAAAATTTTCAATCATTTCCTTCATTTAAAAAATACTCGACAAAATGAAAAGAGATTCTGTGAGGAACATTTCATTAGCAGCTATCATGTTGAGCAAGTCCGTGGAATTCGAAATCAGATACTAAACTATCTTCATTCAAGTGGCTTATTAAAAGATAATTCTCATGACATGAATAAGAATTCTAATAATTGGCCATTAATAAAATCAGTTGTTGCTGCTGGTCTTTATCCATTTATTGCTCGAGTTGAAAGGAAGAAAGGACAAATGTATACAGAAATTGATAATAAATTGACGTTCCATATGAGCAGCATAATGTATGTTAAAAAAGAAGGATTTAGACAAACTATTAAAAATATTCCTTATGACTGGACAGTTTTTGAAGAAAAGAATCGAGTTGGGAGAGTTAGTATGCTGAAATGCAATACATTATTGAGCAATCTACCAATGTGCTTAATGGCTGGGCTTGATTTAAAAGAGGATAAAAAAGAAATTGTTGAAAATGATGACGATGACTGGGAAGATGATGATGATGATAGTGACGATGAACCAAATAATTTTGATGATTTCTCGACACTCAAAGTTGATAATTTCCTTAAATTCTTCATATCTCAACGAGACTCATCTTCAGTCCTTGCATTTAGACAAAGATTAAATCATTTGATAACAAGATTTTTATCTGAGAAACATTTCAAGCATTCAAGAGTTGAGAACGATTTGGTTGATGTCGTAGCAAACATTCTTGCTAATGAAGATAGTAGAACTGCAAGTATGGACTTAAATATTATAGAAAATATTGAGATTCCATCTTCGTTTAATGCTCAAAACCGCAATCAAAACAATCGTGGATATGACAATAGAAAATCTAATTCCTCAAGATCAGGAAATTATCAAAGAAATCAGCAGCAAAATTGGCAACAAGGACATTCTCAAAATTCAATGCAATCTAATCCTCAACCTGAAAGAAATCAATCATACAATGACCAACAAAACTCGAGACCATACGCTAGAGAAGACAAACGTGGTGGATTCACACCAAATGATAGAAATCAACCGTCCAATTCAAGATCGAATCAGAATCAGTCATGGAATATGAAGAGAAACAATACATCACAAAGATTAAAATATTTTATCTTAAAAATGAATAATCAAAAGTTACTAGGCAATATGACTGCAAATACTGTGATTAATATTGATGATCTTAAGCTCAAAGTATGGCAGTTTCATAAAATCAGAAGCTTAACACAATCTGGAAATTTAATTCATTTAATTCTATACTCAACATCTACAAAACATTTCCTTGGATATGGAACAGTTTCAAAAGTTGATGAAAATCGTCCACTTATGTTCCATTTCCGATGTTCACATTACTTGCCGTTAGGTGGACTAGGTTCTACGAAATTCGCACAAGACATCGCACATCCATTGTCGCAACAGTCATTTCAATTTCATGAATTAGATTCGACAGCAGGAAGCTCATTGATTCACTTTTTTGAGTCTGATTGATATTAAGAGATGAAAAGTATTTTATTTTACTGACTAAACTAAATAAATTTATAAAACAGCTGTGAATTTTTGGACAGTAACTAAAGTTTGTGATTTTTTGTCAAAATTCGCTTGACAGGGGCTGCATTTGTAGGTACTGAATCATTAGGACTCCAAATTTGTTGAGCATGTTGCAAAATCTAAGCTTTTCTACCAAAGCTTTTCTAAAAGCTTCTATTTTAAAAATTTATCGACAGTTATTCCCCACTCAAATAGAAACCACAAATTTAATACTTCACACAAAAAAATGCAGCACCAAAATTTTTAATTATCTGATAACTCACTCGTTTGATCATAAATTTAAATTTCGCATGAAAAAAGAATAAACAAACACTGTCAGATAAATTTTGATTTACGCATCACCAATGAGTGCATAAGCAGATAAAATGATTATGAATAATATTTTGAAATATTCTAATTATGGACGCATCAAAAAGTTTCCTAATAAATTTGACAAATGATAAATGAGGTTTTGATTGATGTACGTGTGAGACAAATGAGGAATGAGATAATCGACTTTTTGATGAAAATGCTAATTAAAAAGGAATGGAAAATTCTGGAGGGTCAATACACCTGAAATTATTTATATTGTATTATGGCTGTTCTTATATTTTGGAGCAAGTAGCAGGCAGTTGATAAATGTTCATTTTGTCCATTGATATAGACATAGATTTCCATATACAACAACCAAAAAATGCGCACATAAATCTACCAAACCAATAAATTTCACTACAAATTTGTGTCATATATGGCGGTAAGTTGGTCGACGAAGAACAACATCAACTCAATTAAATTTGCAATAATATTAATTACCATTTAAAATTCATTTCAACTTTGATTAATATTATAAATTATTTAATTTTTTATTTACACAGACACACATGTTATATATGTATAGACATACATTATTATTTCCCCACATTCTCTATAAATAACAACATCCACATCCACAAAATTGTGTGAGCAAAAATGATGGAAAAAGGCTGATAAAAAATAATTTAATTTATAAAATTTTAATTTTCTCATCTGGAAATTTCGATTGGTATGCAGGATAAAAATCGTAATTTTGGACTGGATGAGATAATTTAATAGGAATAATTGTGTAATCATAATCAATTAATTATGCACAAATTATGACGTTGGCATGCGGATACTAAAGTTTGTCAATACTTACTCTTTAATGATTTATGTTGTTTTAACAGAAGTTTTGGATAGTTTTGTTGTTTCTCAAGCTAGTGATTGTCAGAATCTAGATTTCGGAACAGAATAGGATCTGAGGGACCGAGCTATATATAGGCAAACATGTCATTTTGAGAGAAAGGTTTCGGTCGTTGAATAGTTACGAAATAGTCCTCTTATTGGTGCGGCGTGGGTTTGAAACTCACCAGACGTCAGTCTCACATTGTGGTTGACATAGCATTTCATTAACTCCTCGGGCTACTTTATCGATTGACAAATGCAAGACATATTGATATATTATGGAACATTTAATGACATTTTCATATCATTTCATTAATCATTTATGAAATTGACTGGAAAGTTTACTATTCATTTTTATATCTACTGAAAATTCATCAAAGGAGCATACAAAGACTCGATTCTTTAGATCTACAAACTGCAATGCATTCTCAACTTTTATTAAAATTTTATGCATGAGAAATTAACTTTAAATGTGCAGTTTAAGCTTTAAAATGCATTTCATGTTTGATCAACTGTCCTGTAAGTAATGAATTTGATATTTCATAGATGTTTGAACTTCAATCCTGCATCAAAAGTATTATCCACCTCCACTTTACCCAGATTATTACATCACTTCCATTCGCAAATTGTTTGAAGACCGTCTGAAATGGAAATTTTTTTCAATGAAAAAACTGTTTGAGTTTCTGATATGGATAATTAAGTTAAATTGTGAACTCTAGCTAGTACCATCAAAAAGGCAGCATTTACAATCAACATCATAAGCATTACCATCACCTCTTACATTATATTCATACCAGTATTATAAATATTGCATGCATACACAGTAGACATTACGAGTCGTTCAACCCAGTTAAGTATGTGCTATAACAGCTACGATGAAAGCATTTTTAATTAAATTGAGGATAAAAAAACATCAAAGTGGTTTTGTTTTTGACTATCGAACAGACTCACGAAAGAGGAGAAAGAGAAAAATTGAAATTGAAAATTTTAATCGAATAAAGGCTTAACAAACTGAGTTAGATAGTCATTTTAGAGAACTTAAGAGGTTGATTAAAGCGAACTTTGATTATTTTTATGATGTTCAGGATATTAATTAAAATTGAATATTGCGGATCATTCAGTAATGACGTAGTTCACCTAAGGAGCGTGGCCAGAGGACTAGTTTGGGAATCAACCTAATCAAAAATTATTTTCGAGTTTTTTAAACTCACTGCTATAATTGAACGACTGCTGTTTTTTAAGCTGCAAGCAAATATTTTTCATTTCAATTAATCATTTTCAAATGAAGATCCATTGAATCTATTACAACATCCAGCAATATAATAATAGTAATCCTTTATTTGAATGCATGAAATATATTGGAGCAAAAATGTAGATTTTTTGATATTAACCTCGTCGGTTTCAAATTAAATTTTATACTGAGCTATGATTAGTGATATGACATGATTTAAGTTTTGAAAATTTGAGTTTCGGTCAAAAAATTTTTTTAAAAAAGACCAATTTAAACAAGAAAAAAAAATTAATAATTATAATAATAATAATATCCATGTATTTACCGACGAGGCTTCGGTAATTTGTGTTTTACTCGAAAACTCAGTGAATCATAGCTGTATTGGCCAAGTGCTGAGAGTAAGTCATTTGAGTGGTGCGCAAGTTTTGAATAGAAATTGTCATTTAAACTGGATATGAAATTTGACATTAATGGGATTTCAGCTAACCTGTGAATTTCGCTTATTGTTTTAAAGTCAGACCAGTTGACATTCAGGATCATGCGAACAATTTTGTTTTGGAAGAGTTGCGAATTGTTGAGATGACAGAAGGCAGCATTTGCGAAAATTGGACATGCATAAGTCAGAATTAATCTGATGAATGATTTATAGATTCTAATTTTTGAATCTACAGTGGCAGATGAGTTTCTGCTCAGTAACAACATCCAGCATCCAATGCATATTCACCAATTTTACATTCCCACTTTCATTCTTGGTTTACTCCTTTAATTTACATCCTTTGCAGGTAAATTTGATTTATATTTAAGGTCAGATTTGGAACATTTTCTAAAGTAGAAAATAATAGATGTATAAGAATGAACAGATAATATCAGACTACCAAGATCATCAACCCAAATTTTCTCCATTCAGACGCAGCCACGAACCCAAATCAAATGTCAAATCCGTTCCTTAAATGCACTGATAATGCTCATCTACACAAGTGGTCGAGTCGAGTGCATAAAAAAAATCGTTTTTCGTCAAATGCCAATTTCTGTTCCATTCTCTCTCTCTCCCACAGAGAAAAAAATATAAAAAAAGCTTTTAGTTCCTTTCAATTGCATACATAATTTTATTCTTTTCTCATGCAATTTGTCTCGACACATCTGTTTGCATGTTCTATTCCGTTTGTTGAGATTATTCTTCGTTCAATAAACATAATTTTTGTAGGTTTTTATTATGCTCATTCCCTCTCCTCCTGTCTTTTCCTCTTTTGAGGTTGTGTCAATGAAAATTGAAAAATTCACAACTGAAAAAGCAGAAATTTTCTTTTCTTTTATTTTTTGAGAGACTATTTGCATGCGAAATACACAAAAAATGCTGCTCATGTTGATTTAGCCTTTGCATTTATTTAAAATATGAACAAAGAAATTATTCCAATTTTTTTTCGAGGATGGAAAAATTCATTTAGGAATGAAATATTTGATTCATGCAAATTAATTTTGAATATTTAGATGAAATAATAAAGAATCACTTCTTACTGAATTGTAGTAATTGATTTTTGTGAAATTAAACTTTAAAATTACAAAAACTATGGCAATAAAGGACACTTCTTGATGCATTCTCCACCAAATCTTTTGAAGCCAGCAACACAGAAGCATCCAGCAACACAAATTTGAGCATCTTCTTCAGTACACATTGGTCTCATACCTCTACAGACTTGATTGTCGCACATTGATGTTGGTCCACAATCACGCCATTCTTCATTAGCTTTTGGACATTTACTAGCTTCACATTTTGTGAAATCGCAAGTTGAAACACATGGATTATTGGGATCAGCTACAGTGTTATTAGCGACTGGAAACATTTTGACTTGATTAGAATCAGCGCAAAAACAGCCTGTTGTAAAAGAGTCCATGCGACATGGTGGTCCTCTTGGTCCGCTGTAAAGAATTTTAACTCTCAAAATCGTCCAAAACAAGTATTAAATTAAATAAAAATACCAGCATGTGGGATAGCAAAACGGACCAGGCCCTTTAAGTTGATAAACTTCACCTTTTGGACATTTTGGTGTATCTTCAACCAAAAAGCATTTTTTACAATGTGCGACGACAAAAAGTAAGAAAAAAATGAAGAAACTTTTCATGACTGCAAATTTTTACGTCTTTAGGTTTTAAAGAGACAAACGACACTGAAAGAAGATAAAATAACTATAAAAACATGTTTCGTTAAAATAATACAACGTCAATTTGCTCAACTGGAATTTGACTATACTCGTGTAAATCGCGAAGTACAAAGGAATGTGAAAAAATAATACTGGACTTAGATTTTCGAGGTTTTTCGTTAAATTTTAATTTATTCTACAAAAGTTTAAGGAAACAATGGACATTATTGATGCATTTCGACCAAATCTTTTGAAGCCAGCGACACAAAAGCATCCAGCAACACAAATTTGAGCATATTCTTTATTGCATATTGGTCTCATACCTCTGCAGACTTGTTTGTCGCACATTGTTGTTGGTCTAAAATTACGCTATTCTTCGTGAGGCTTTGGGGAATTTTGATGGTACATGATCAACTGTAAAGCACCTCTGCTTCTTTTCAGCAATCAGATCAGATTGAAGGATAAAAATTAGGAAAGTGAAAAGTAATTACAACTTTATGGTTAACTTAACTGGATGTTTCGAATAAACGATAGAAACTGATCGAATGATAGATGTCTGGTATTTGTTGACTCAGTTGCATTTGGATTAATTATTGTAAATAAATTTTATATTAAATTATTTTGTTTGACCTGACCTTAAAGAGTCACGCAAAGATAGAAGAATTTTAAAAAGTCAAATTAATTAGTTAATATTCGTAAATTAAGTATTAAAAATATTTAAAGTAAAATTAAGCATTGTGAAGTTTAAGAAAAGCATCAAATATCGCCAAAATAGCAAGCAGCAAATTAATTATTGAGGAAAATAAGAAAGACAAAAGGAAGAATAAAGGACGTATCAAATTTCAAATTCTATCATTAAGAAGCATAATAACGCATCAAATAAAAAATTGCAATAATCGTGAATTTATATATTTCAAAAACCGTCACACAAAAAAAATTGGAAGCATCGAATTGATTAATTAAACCACATAAGAAAAATAACAAAGACATCCAGAAGATCAAAACATCGCGCCACATTCTGTGGTGAGTTGACATGTTAAGTGGTGAAATTGGAGAATAAGTTGTACATAATTCAAAATATAACGTATCAGTGGTGAAGGTGGTGAAAGAAAGCAAAAGTCAGATTAAAGCTGTTTTATTTAAAATAACGCTAATTTATTTATTAACGTAACATCAGTGCGTGATTTAATTATCACGTGAGAATCCAATTTTGACTTAATTGTCAAAAGTACAAGAAAGGTTGACTTAATTGTCAACTGTTCAACAAAAGTGACTTGACTGTCACAATTTACAGTCTGACTTAATTGTCAGTAACTAAACATACAAGCAGAAATGGCATCCAGCAGTAGGTCAATGCATGCAACAACATCTTCCGTATCAGAAATCAGGCAAATTAATGAAGCCATCCCACAAGAAGTAAAGGAAATGTATGCTAAGACGTCCGTCAACAGGAAAAGAGGGTATAAGCCAAGGAACTTTGACGGTGCGGGGAGTACCAGGATCTTAGATTTTTTTAAAAAACAAGATAATGAAAGGAAGTCTATGTTCAATGCTAATAGGCCAAACGCTACACAACAACCAACAAAACAGTTAAAAACTGTAAATCAAGAAGATTACTTCATAAACGCGAATAAAGCATCATTGGAAGCAAGGACACTGGCAGAAGAAATTAATGAGATTCTCATTGACAAGGAAAAAATAGACGTAAAGAATCTTATAATTAAAAATACGCAAATGATAATGAAAATGCAGGAATCTCAAGAATGCCTAACTGCAGCTATGATCAGTCGTGATACTCAAATAATGGGCCAAATGACAAAAAGAATGGCAGAATGTAATGAATTTTTCACGAATGAAGTTAATGAAATCCGACAAGATATTGAGGATATTAAGGCAAAAGATGACGTTGAAAAAATGAGCACTGTAATGGCATGTAAAAGGGATCTTATGAAAATCTGGATTAGATTTACGTATGTAGATGATGTTAATGAGTTGAAAGATATGAAAAACCCACCCTTGGCTGTCAAAACAATAATGTCTCAACTAAAAATAGATCTTAGTAATATTCAATGGCCTGTAGAATCCGCCCATTTCCAGCTTAAAACATTCTCAGCAAATCAACAAGCACCAGAAACTGCACTTGAATGCACTTTTGTCAATTCCACTATTGCAAACCGAGTGAAGATGGGAATCCGAAACTTTAATAATCGATTGGAAGAAGATGGGAAAATTCACCTAATAAGATATCGAGTCGCAACAGATTTTTCATTCACGGTCCGACGAATCGTTAAAATATGTAATGAATTGAAACGATGTGAAGTTGTGGACAAGGTACTAATAACCAACGACGGCATAAAAGTACTACACAAGGAAATAGAACGAAGCAATCAAAAAACATCAATGCAGCAAGTAAAAAAAGCCAGCTCATCTTTGGTAAATTCTATGTCTCAGCTTGATTCCTTACGACGAATGCTTCAAGACTTCAATTTCAAAGTCCCAGCAAATATGGTATATAATCAAGCATACTTTGAAATGTCGCACGAGAAGAGGCTAGAAATGAGAAATGAAGTTATTGAAAACATGATTATGGAAACTGAAAAAGATTTAGAACTTACTGCATCAGATAATGAGTCAATGTACTCGTCTCAACATGATCACTTTGAATGAGAATTCGTCCTCCCACCTCAGCATACTTCAACACCAAAACAGAAAAAAATTCAGAATCCAATAGTAACGCCTAAAATGAAAAAAATAGAGATTAATAATGAAATGAATTTAAATTTAAAGGAAATAAAAGATATTATATTATCAAAATCGCATGGAACCGAAACTGAAAGAAAATCATCATTTATTTCAATGCTATGGAACATTCGGACTATGAACGATATAAAAGTAAAAAAATTAGCTGAAATTCTGAACTTTTTGGCTTCAAATAAGGTGGGAAAGGACAATAATGGGGTAATCGTAGATGTAGTCGCTATAACTGAATTTGGAAAGCTAGAAAGCAAATTTAACACATTTAATTTAAAAGGATACAATTTTTATTCAGCTCTAAGAAATGACAGAAAAGGTGGAGGAGTTGCACTTTACGTACGAAGTAATATTAATGTTAATATAAAGCTGTCAAAAGTTACAAAGGATTTAGAAATGATCCATGCTGAGCTCTTTAAAGATGATGATCCAAAAATAGACTTGATAGTCATATATCGACCTCCAAATGGCAATAAGAATGCATTTTACGAGGAGATTGAAGAACTACTTTTTGAAAATGAGGAATTGATAATAATGGGAGACATCAATATAAATAATTTACAATCGACTGAAAGTGATCAACAATCAAAAAGGTACTTGGAGATTCTATCATCACTGAACTATGGAATAATTAACAAAGCAATAACAAGATTTAACCCAATAACGAGTCGACATGCTATCATTGATCACATCATCACTACAACATCTAACACTCATCTATTTACACTTACATCAGACCAAGTTACAATAAATACATACTCGGACCATAACATAATATTCACAGTATACCCTGGCAACAAAAATATCGAAAGGAGAGTTAAATTATTAACAGTTAACAAAACAAATAGGAAGAAAGCTGTCGAAGACATTAAACACAAAATTAAGCACATCCCTATGAATGAAAATCCTGATATATTATGTAACAGTATTATCGATACCGTAAAACATTCAATCAATACTTATACGCAAACGTTTACTATGAAAACTGATGACATAAGAGATGTGGTGCCACCTTGGGCAAATGTGCAGTACATATATTTATCGAATGAAATTTTTAATTTACAAAACAGAATTAAGAAGCTTAAGAATGAGATGAAACCAACATCTAAATTGGAAGCAATGCTTGTGGAAAAAACATTCAAAAAGGATGATTATGGAGCAAAAAGAGTATTGTGTTACTACAATGATAGAACATTTCTGAGCGCTAAAGAAAATTGGAAAGTACTAAATGAACTGTCTGGGAGAGACAAGAAAAAAAGCACAATCATACTTGAGGTCAATAAAGTGAGAATATCAGATCCTGTTGTAATTGCTAACACATTCCAAGACTATTTTATGTCAATTGTTGGAGCTGAATCACATTCGGATCAACAAATTGATGACAGCGAACCTGTACAGCTGATAGCAAACAAGGAGTTTGAGTTTACTGACGTGAGCGAGGAACGAATAAAACTAATAATGAGCTCAATTGATGTTGGAAAGGCAACAGGATTGGACAACATTTCGCCATTTATTTGGAATCAAGTACATAATGAAGGAGCGGAACCTATCAAAAGATTATTCAATTCAATTATTAAAAAATGCATCTATCCTCAGATATTAAAAGAAAGTATAGTTCATCCAATCCACAAGGCAGGTTCGAAAATGCAAGCATCAAATTATAGACCGGTGTCAGTCCAGAATTCATTAAACAAAGTCATTGAGAGAGAAATGTATGATCAAATGGATGAATATTTAGGATGCAGCGGATTGATGGATGCCTATCAGTATGGATTTGTGAAAGGGAAAGGCTGTCAGGATATTATAGCAAAAGTCATATCAATGATCTCATGCTCAATCGATAAAAAAAAGACAATAGTTCTCATTTCCATAGACTTAAGCAAGGCATTTGACTCAATTGATCACGAGATATTATTAAACAAAATGACAAACATGGGAATTGGAAAGAAAGCTGTTGAACTCACCCGAAGCTACTTATCAAACAGACATCAATTTGTAAAAGTCGGTGATTCTTTAAGTCATGCAGGGCAGATCAACAAAGGAATTACGCAAGGGTCAATTCTCGGTCCAAAATTCTTCTCCATATATATCGCTGACATTCAATACTTAAAAACTCATTCAAAAATCTTTAAATTCGCCGATGATATAGTGCTGCTGCTGGAAATTGATGAATGTGATAAAAAATCAAGTCCTGCTGAAATGATAAATGAAGATATTAGGCTGCTAAATAATTACTTTAAACAAAATAAACTTGCTATAAATACGGAGAAATGTCAGGCAATAATAT